TTTGTACAATTAATAAAAAATCATCTGCCTGATGGTTAATATAGTTTTTGATACTTATGAACATATCCACTTTAGTGATTTTGTCTAATAGCTTTTCTTTGCCTGTTTATAAGATAAAAGGATTCACTTATTGTGATCCTAGAGGCAGGTTAAATTTAAAGTCTTTTTGTAAATATTTGATAATATAATTAACTTGTTTTTTTATTTGTGCTGAAATACATATGTTTAGATTATCTAGTAGTGAATTAAGAGAGTGGAGTAATGGTCTTTTGAACTTGTAGAAGTCTATAGATAGAGTTTTAAGACTATACTTCTTTCTTAAGATATCAATAAGTTCTTTTGTATTTATTATTATTGGATTATAAGAAAAATAGTATGTAAGATGCTCTGGAAGCAGTTTATATAAGGCTAAAAATAGAGTTTTGAATAGTGACAAGTTGAAAAATATTTTAGGTAGTTTTGCAGAAACTTCATAGAATTTGATAAGTTTTTTAATTTTTTCTATGAGTTCTTTAAGACCTTTTTGTTCTATTGTAGAAAATAAGTGTCTGGTTTTTTTATTGAGATTTTTGGAGTTCTTTGACAAAAAGTCAAACTTGAAAAATTATAAGTCTGGCAGTTAAAAGAACTTGTAATATACTTTTAAGACTAATACAATAAATAATAGCAATGATCTTTTTTTAATTAGAAGTAGGCTCAGGAGCTTGATAATTTTGTTGGAGGGAGTGGATTCTGGATTGTTTAGGAGAATTGGTAGAGATTCATATAACATTTTTGTGATTATATCTAACAACTCAATATAGTTAACAGTATTATTGTTATCTTTTATAAAATAATTATATCCAAATTCAAGAATTTGTACAACTTCAAAGAACTTAAGTTTATTTAAGTTCATAAATTTGAGGCAAGCTATAAATAATAATGAATTAAGGATCTATTTAACTTTTTCTTGATTCTTTTACTGATGTAGCCAATGTTATTGACTTTTTTATAGTTATTATATACTTTTGTTTTTAATTCCTTATACTTATTCTAATGATTTCTTTTAAGTATATTATTTTTGATAAATGATATAAAGAAGATTCTATATTTTAAAAGAATTTTTATAAAGATTGCAAGATAAGATTCCTGTGAAATCAAGCCTTTGAAAGTGATTTAATTTTCATAAAGAGCTCTGCTACTTCTTTGATTTTACTATAACAGGCTAACATCCATAATACTAGATTAATAATTGTATTATATTTACTAATAAAAGGTTTGTTTCTACCTGCTGCATATATAATAGGTAAACTATTTATTGGATGATCACTTTCCAAAAGAATTTTTGCAATTATGTTTTTTTTATTATTTGAAGATAATATTAATTGTAAACTTTTTATTAAGTTCTTTGTAATTAAGAAGCTGTGAAAGTTTTCAAGGGTTTTGTTTATGCTTAAATTATCAGTTGACCATTCAATTTTAGCTTCATCTAATATTTATTTATTCTAATTTGCTTGAGTAAAAAGTCTTACTTATTTGTATAAACAGGAATGTATTTTCTTATAAGTTATTTAATTTTTCTTGTATGTAATTATCAAATTCTATAAGAAAACTTGTGCTGCCAATAAGGTTTATATAATTTAAAAATTTTACTGATATGTTATTATTAAAATAGAACTAGTAAGTCTAATTGTACTTTCAAATTTGTCATGTTAATTGTTTATGATAATGACATAATAGTGATTGTTTACTTATATCATGTTATTTAGATTATATGAGTCATTAGTTTTTAATATTGTATAGTCTATTGTATTGGTTATGCCTATTTATTTCTATATTGTAGGAAGTACTGTATATGTATATTATTATTGATTTTTGTTATATTGAAATTGCTCATATTCTATAGATTAATAGGAAGGGGTAAGCTACTTGGTATTTTTTTGAGAATTTGAAATGGTAGTTTTTTATCTTTAGAATTTTTAGTAGAGTTTTGTTTTTTAATTATTATTTTTTTGTCCTGTACTGGTATATTAGGTAATGTGTAAATTAGCATATCTTATATTCTATGTTCAATTTTTTGTTACTTTTGATAATATTAACTTGATTTTAGAAAAGATAAAACTATAATTAAAATTATTGTTTAAAACTTTTTTTGTAATGGTCTTTTTTATATTTAAGACAAAATTATTTCTCTTCTAATATTAAAAAAATTTATTTAAATTGTTATAAGTATTGCTTTTGTGATTGTTGATAGTTATTGAAATCATTGTATATAATTGAAGAGAGTTAAAGTTAGTTATTACTTGTCTAAAGTTGATGAAGGCAATATCTACTTGTGAAGAATTACTGTTATTTGAATTATATAGCAGTATAATTCAAAATTTGAAAAAGTTAGCTAAAGATAAAATGAAAATATTTTTTGTTAGTTTAGTAATTTAAATAATATTTGAATTGTTTTTCTTGTATATTATAGAAAAAAAATGATTAATAGAATTTGTTACTACAATATTCAAAAAAATATAAATTGAATTTAATGGTTTGTCCTTAGGAGAAAGGCTTTCAAGAGTATTTGTTGCTTTATTTTTTCTAATAATTTGTTAGTTATTAAAAAAATTTTATTTATAAATCAATAATTAATTAATTAATGTAATAAAAATTTGAATATATATATTTAACAACCTATAAAATAAGATTACTTAAAAAAAATTTTTTTTAAATATTATAACAATATAATTAAATTTTGATTCAACGTTAAAAGTATATTTTAAAGCTATATTCAAAATTCTATTGTATATTACAAATTACATAAAATTGACAAAATTATTTTAATGAATATATTTGTTAAATAAAAGTAAAAAAAATCAAAAAACAATTTTTTCATAATTTTTTATTAATTAAAAAAATTTTTATAAAGTAAAATTAAACAAAAAATTTTATAATAAAATTGATTTTTTAAAATTTTTTAAAATTTTTTTGAAATTAATTTTATAATATTAATTTATATGACATAAGAAATGTTTAATAAATTTTTTATAGTCGAATTTTTTTTAAATTTTATAATTAATTTTACAATTTGAAATTTATATATAAAAAAAGTCTAAATTATAAAATCTTTTTAAAAAACTTTAAAATCAATATTTTATAATAAAATTACTAATTAATTAATTTTAAAACTTCATTATTATTATTATTGGAATTACAAAATTATTTTATTAAAGTTTTATTTAAATTAAATGAATATTTATTAAATTATAATAAAAAATATCAGTCTAAAGACTTTTGCACCATACTATATATATATAATTAAATATTTGAAATTTTATTATATTTAAAAATTTCAACTAATTATTTTTATAAATATTTTTAACATTAAATAAAAAAATTTTTTGAATGATATGAAAAAGTTGTTTTATTTATATATGTTTAAATTTATAAAAAAGTAAAAATAATTCATTAATAAAAATATCAAGTTGATCAAATATAAACAATATTTTTGTTTTAATTGTTTTAATAACTAATTATTTTTGTCAAAAAATATAATACTTATATAATTTTTATATGAATAATATATGTTACATAAAATTAATTAATCTTATAAACTAATAGTAGAATAAAAATACAATATATAGTAAACATAAATTTAATAATAATAATAATAAAGAAAATAATAATTTAAAAATGTTATTTATAATTACAACAAAGTTTGTTAATTGATTATTATATAAAAAAACATGCTTCTGGTTTAAATAATAATTTATAAAGTTTAAACAAAAACAAACCCTTGAAAAACTTTTAAAAAATAAACAGCGTTTATATTACAAACAATCTAAATAAAATAATTTTTTAAAAAATCACATATGATTCTATTACTGTAGTTATTATCTGATAAATCTATTATTATAATATGATAAAAAATTTTTAAATAATAATAACCTTAGATCATTAAATATAACATATTCAATATACTGTAATGTTAATTAGATATTATGTACGTCGGAGATTTGCCGGTAGTTATATACATATACATATATATTTAATATTTAACACAACTGATCTGACATAATTTGAACAGATCTGTTTCTTTGCTGACTCAATGGTGTTACTTGTTTTTCAAATCGAATTTTTTTTTTTACAATAATTATGATTATGATAATTCTGTCATGCAGAGATGGTCTTTTTTCTATATAAAGTTAAAATCGGCGGTATCATTAGGCTGGGGTTATACGAAAAAATTGAATGCGAGGAGATTGGAATATACATTCTTTTAACCATAATAGGTTAATAAATGCCATGTTTTCGGGCCTCTTTTAATTATCAAGCTTTCTTCGAATGTAAAATGGTAGACATATTTAGAAATTGTAATGTATATAATTATATAGCCCAATAGCAACAGAGAAACACGAATCTTTTAAAACATTGCCTTTTCTTTCACGTATTCTCGTTAAAATTTCATTTACTCTACCAAAATTAAATTCTTGCGACAAATATTCCATCATTTTGGGTAATGGGCACAAAACAAGCTTACAAATTAAACAAGTGACCCTATGTGAGAATACAAATTATTACAAAGACATTGGAACTTGATTAACGGAATACAAAACGAGGTTATCGATCCAGACTTAAGTGTTAAACGGCTTATTTATCTTTAAACTTGTATCTTAATATATTGTCTGGTATATGTTACGCAATCACGTACAGTAATATATATTCGGAACTTGTAGGTTTTGCTTAACCTTTTGCCATCTATACATAATATATGTGTATTTTATGAAGAAATGCTTTATCGATAAATATTTTTTTGGAGGACCCACAGAATACATGTGGCGTTTGACGCACGCGATGAATGGTCACATTTACGGCATTTGACTTTCTATAATATAATTACACTTTATCCTGTCTTTAATAAGTTAGTAGACACGACATAGGCCAGCTTATTTAGTCGTTCGTCTTATAACATTTTGATTAATTAATTAAAGTATATAAGAACCTGGTTTCATGTGCTCACACTCAAATATTTCTCAATGGATAATCACACTGTTCCTACGAACTCCATGCAAGCTACTCCTTCGCAAGATGAAGTTTCCGAAAGACAGCAGCACACTCCTCAAAGATTACATCCAGCGGTAAATAATTCTCATCATTTCCGCCAATCAAATCCAGGTCTATTTGATTTTGTTCAAGGCAACGCGTTTCCTCTGTACACAGTGCAAAAATTAAATCCCACAAAAGAATTTGTAGATATGTTAATTGATGGCGATGGAGGGTGGGGAATTGAAAGTTCTCAAACATAAAATCATTAACTATGATCTCGAAATCACGTTTCATTTTCGGGAATGTTTTTCTCAACTACATTTATCAATATTCATAACCATTTCCGTATAGTGAAATAGATATTATTTCTTGTACATAAGTTGGCTTGATCAGTTTATTTTTTTAGTTTAAAAACATTTATATCCCCGTTCAAAACGATATACATATCTGGTAAAGCACACAGTATTTCAGTTTTATTATTTTCAACCCGGAGATTACGTCTTTCTTCTCAATCAAGAATGGATTTCCCCTTTCGTTTTTCGTTTGGTGATTTCCTTTCTCCTATTACTGTTACACTTCGTAAATCACCTTTTGCGTACGTATTTAATAGAATTTCGGACTTGCAATCAATTATTTAACGTTTTCTAAGACCGGTACACTGTTTATAAGTCTATTACAATATTAATAAACTTTGCGTGAAATATGTTTTTGTGCACGATTGGTAAACAATGCAATATTAATAATTAAATCTCTATTTGCTATTTATTTTACTGATTGTTATTTTTAATTATAGT